AGTTACTATGTTACAGTTCTGGAGACCAGCTATCCACAATTGGTCTTATGTGGCCAAACTCAAGGTGTTGCAAGTGTTGCCGCCTTCAAAAGACTCTAGAGGAGAATCTGTTCTTTGCTTTTTCTGTCTTCTAGAAGCTGCCCACATTCCTTTACTCATGGCCCCCTTCCATCTTGAAAGCTAACAGTCACACCTGACTTTTGCTTCTGACCTCTCCTTCCCTGATTCTGACTCTCCTGCCCCACTCTTCCACTTGCAAGAACCCTTGTAAGGGCTGATCCCACCCAGAAAATCCAGAATTATCTCCACATCTCAAGATGTTTACCTTAATCACATCTGCCAAGCCTTTGCCATGTAAGATAATGTAGGCACAGGTTTGGGGATTAGGATGTGGGTCTTTTTGCAGGACTGTTATTCTGCCTACCACTGTTGCTAAATGGGAATGCAGGCCTAGTACGGCCAGACCTACCAGTTCTTTTCAATTAAACCTAGAAACCTGCATTTTTATTTTTATGTTATTGACTTTTTTCCCCCCAATTGATTTCAGAGAGAGGAAGGGAGAGGGAGAAAGAGAAACATCAATGGGCTGCCTCCTGCACGCCCCCTACTGGGGATCAAGCCTGCAACCCGGGCATGTGCCCTGACTGGGAATCAAACCCGGCAACTTCCTGGTGCATGGGATGACACTCAACTGAGCCACACTGGCTCAACTAGAAATCTGCATTTTTATATGACTGTGTAGAAAAAAGTTAACATAAAATGCCTGAGATTGCTATCCTTAGAAAGGCCTGCTTACAAGATTGGCCCTTGGCTGGCATCAGGGAACTTGGCTTTTGAAGTGTTCCAAATCAACAGTTAACTGACAATGATGGTTTGTTGTGCCTAGACTCTTAATCTAAATAATATAATTTATGCTGAACAGCTGCTTTTATTCCAGGAGTCTGGAATTGTTGTATGTGCTAGGCAAAGGTGCCTATGTGACTGACACCCAATAAAAACCTTGGGTGTTGAGTCTCTGATGGGCTTCTTTGGGCAGAAACACTGCAGAGAAATATTGCTCCATTTTTTATTCTGGAGGAAGAACACACTTTGTGAGCCCGTATGGGAGGGAGAGGGCATAGATTACTCCACACACTCCTTGTGTTTTTTCCCCCTTACAATCTGGCTGTGTATTGTCCTATGTCGCTGTAATAAACCTTAGTTGTGAGTACAATTTTATGCTGAGTCCTTCAAGTTCTTCTAGCTCAGTGGTTCTCAATCTTCCTAATGCCATGACCCTTTAATACAGTTCCTCATGTTGTGGTGACCCCCAACCATAAAATTATTTTCGTTGCTACTTCATAACTGTAATGTTGCTACTGTTATGAATCATAATGTAAAGATCTGATATGCAGGATGTATTTTCATTGTTACAAATTGAACATAATTAAAGCATTGTGATTAATCACAAAAACAATATGTAATTATATATGTGTTTTGTGATGGTCTTAGGCGACCCCTGTGAAAGGGTCGTTCGACCCCCAAAGGGGTCTCGACCCACAGGTTGGCGACCCACAGGTTGAGAAGCGCTGTTCTAGCTAATCTCCTAACATAGGGGTGGTCTTGGAAATGCCCCAACACAAAGACAATTCCTGAATTTTTTCATATTCTAAATGTCACAGGGGTTAACACTGTGAGGGCCAAACAAAACATTTCTGAAAGCAAATTTGGCCTCCAGGCTGCCAATTTGTAAATTCTGGCTTCTTAGACTTCTACCCTAATTTTAGTCCCATCTCTGAAGTGAAAAATTCATCCCACACACTCAGCACATGCCTACCATGTGCTAAGCACCTTGGTAGGAACTAGGGATACAAAGATGAATAAGATACAGTCCTTACCTTCAAGTTTGCTATGTAGTAAGATGGAAATGTACACAAATAAATGCAGCATGATGCACTACACGCACTACTACAAATGAATAAAATAAGAATCCAGATAGCTGCTTACAGTGCTTTGCCATGTCTATACACATTCCTAAATTCATCTGGTCCTCACAACCTGAAGTTATCCCACTTTTACAAATGAAGCATCTGAACCTGAAAGTCAAAGACGTTTAGGGTTTTGCCTAAGCTAAAATCTCTTTTGGTCTTCATTGTGCTGGGGTGGGGCTGCACAAGGGGGAAGAGCCAGGGAAGGTCTGCACTAGGCCCGGTGTTCTGTTATCACCAAGGTTCTTGCTCTGTAGAGACCATGACCTCATTTCCCAAAGCAGCCTCGCTCTAGGCCAGTGATGGCAAACCTATGACACGCGTGTCAGAAGTGACACGCGAACTCATTTTTTTTTGGTTGAACTCATTTTCTT